GCCTAAGTCTAAACCAAATTGGGTTTAGTCAAATTTCTTAAGTCTAACCTAAATTAGGCTTTACTCATCTAACCTTAGGTTCAAACCCAAATTGAACCTAAGTCTAAATCTAAAACAAGTTGGGCTTAGTCCAATCCTTTAAGTTTAATCTAAATTAAACTTAACTCATATAACCTTTAGGTTCAAACCCAAATTGAACTTAAATCTAAGTCCAAACTAACTTAAACTTAGTTTCAGCCTTTAGGTTCAACATAAATTGAACATAAGTATAAGTCTAAGCCCAAACTAACTGTAACCCTTAAGTTCAACCTAAATTGAACTTAAATTTGAGTTTAAACCTAAACCTAAATTTATAGGATCAATCCTTATTGAACCTAAGTTTAGCTTCAAATACTCTCAATCTTCAATAGGTTTAATCTAAATTAAACCTGATGAACTAGTTAAATCCAGAGAGAATTAGTTCTTATGTACATTAGACCTAATTATATAGTTAAGTCTTAACTAAATTAGACTTGGTTAAAACTAAGCTTCTATGTCTAAATTACCTTAAACTTAGCCTAAACCTATTCAACGTTATACTTAATCAATTTTAGGTTCAGCTAACACTGGGTTGGAAGTCTTATCCACATGAACTCTAGTCCAAGTTAAATTTAGAGTTATGTTTAAACTAACTTAGACCCAACTCAAATCCAACATCATCTTCATTTAGTCCAGCCCAACTCAAGATCCGATCTAGATCTAACTTAACTTGGACTAAAGAAATCTAGCTCAGTTTAAATTCCTTTCAATTGAACTACAAAGTTAATCAAACTCAACTTAAGTTCAATTGGATCATTTGGACGAACTTTGGGTATCCATAATGAATATTCTAATTTCAAAATGAGCTTTGAGTCTATAATTGATTTAAATTTTATTCAGATTTAAAGAAAATTTAAGTTTAAATTAACTTAAACTTTTACCTAAGTTCAAAAGTTGTTTGAACTTGAATTTCTCCAAACTAACCTAAATTAGTTCGGGTCAATCCTAATATACTCAAGTAAGTTCAGCAGAACTTGAGAGTGATCTGAAGGATAATTAGCCTAAACAAGGTTGAAATTGGGTCACACGAAAATCTTTCCTTAGATTAATTCAACTCAACTTGATATATTCTAAAGATAAAATCTTAAGCTAAGTAATTGAAGGCTAAAAGGGTTTTATTTCTCAATACGAGAAATGAAACACATTTTACCTCAATCAAGGATACTTTAGGAATCAAAATATACTCTAAAAGACATTAAAATTTAAACTTGAACCAAAAATGCAACTAAGTTTAAGAGGATATTTTGGAGGAGGTAACCCATGGTTGCTAACAAAATATCTTTCAGTCATTCGCGACTAATCAAATCGCAAACTTAATGACCCAGGATGACAGGACGATGGGATCCTTTTCAGGTCATCACAAACAAAAGTAAATAACAAAAATGAAAATTTTAAATTGGCTAATAAATCGTAAACAACCTATAATTTTCCAACCCCTAAAATCTGAATAAGACAATAAAACTTAGATTAAACCCTAATGAACAAAGATCATTGAATGCAACTTAAACCTCAGTGTTTAGATCTACAAAGATCTCTTGGAAGACACAATCTGTGGTATCTGACAAGATTCTTCGGGTCCTGCTTTAATCACCTTTCGGACTAAGTAGATATGAAAACCTTGATGACCCCGGGACGACAGAGGCATAAACATATTGACCAAGTTGTCCAATCAATGAAACAAATTATAAATCTACTTTAACTTTACTTTGTAGGATTATTCAAGACTTGAAATGGATTGTCGCTACATTATTTGCAGAGATAAGCACAAAATATCGGGAACAAAAGATGAACTGTAACTAAACATTGAATTACAGGTTAGTTAGGATCTTTAGGACTCTACTACCTTCAAAATGAAATGTTAACATTTTTTTGAGAACATTTTTTTAACCTTAATCGAGTGTCTTCTTAAATGGTTTTACAATTTGAGATATAATTAACTATAGGGGTTTGCCGTTATAGGAAGAAAATAACTTCATATCAAATATGGTAATTCGATTTCTCTGGTTTTCGATTTTAATAAGGATTCATCTGCAATCATATCTTTAAGGTATTTCCAACATATACTTTAAGGATGAGCGTATCTATTGTCATGAAAGTTTTCATACATATTTTTTTTTGTTATCATTTTCTCTGATCCTTTAATCTTCATGATGAAGATTAGTCCGGTAAAAGGTAGTATAACAGATAACAAACTGACAACTCCACAACAATGACAATGATAATAGAGCGAACACTGATGACACCGACCATCCAAAACATCAAAACAACAACAATGAATGACATTTTGGCGGTGACACTTACTAAAGATAATCTTCTGAACCGATCAAGCATGATTTGTTTGGTACTTCAATATTTGATTTTCAATCCTTAGTTTGATTTTAATTTTCATTTAACTGAACAAGTCGAAAAACCCAAGTTTTTTAAAAAAATTTTATTATATTTTAATTTCATGCGGAATAAACTAAAAAAATCAAAAAATTATGATATGTAATATTTGATTGAAATAAATAGAGGATTCATGAAATTAAATCGATATTATTTGAAGAAAATATATGATTTGTAATGCTTGTTCTCAGTCCATTTTTAATAAAAAATTAAATTGTAGTTTTTTCATAATCAAAACATTAAAATTGAATTAAATTTTTATTTCGTTTTATGTAAATTTAGATTGGTTCAGTTTTCTGGATTATGCATATCATATAATTCTCATATATTTGTAAATCCAACACCTGAAATTTTATATTTACATCCATATCACTCCAATCTTGGACATTACATAAAAAATATTATTATTTCTAACACTTTTTAGAATGATATTATTGAATTCGAGGTTGCCTGTGAATCAAACCTAAGGAATATAACTTAAATATGGAGAGAGAGATAAAGAGAGAGGGATAAACAGTAATAAATAGTGATGAATAGTGTCATCTTTATAAAATGTTTCCCCAATTTAAAGAGGAGATGATATAATAATGATAATACATTTGTGTCTCCATTTGAAAGATGTTTGTGCTAGGGTATATCTAGTATTTTAGATTTATGGGCTTATTGTCTGACTGTTTACAAGCTCGACTGGGTAAGCTTAATCAACTTCAAGTCGATGTATTTAGCTCACTTGGCTACGCTTGGTTGGTATGATTCAGTCAGCTGATCTAACTTTGTTAGCTATCTTCAATCCCTAGTGAAGAGTCTTTGGAGTCTCCACGGGATGGTCAGAGATACTTTACGACACTGTATTGTTCTTTGGATCTCCATACTGAGGGTAGGCTACTAGACCGGGTTTGCTTTCTTGTAATGGTTAGATCAAATGCTCTTTTGTCTCGTTTTTGGTCGAGATGGCTTGTGCTTCAATAATTTCGTCATATTCTTATCTGCCTCGAGCATAGTTGGCTTGGCTCATATGGCTTTGCATGTCGATCAGGTGGGCTTCACGATACCTTGGTACTAGATCAGAGCATATACCTCTTTTATGTACATATTTTAGTTCCTCAATTTTCTTCTTAAAAATGGCTTTGTGATAATAAGAAGATAATTTCATACAAAAGTAGATCACATTCAATTTTAATTACTAATTTAATGATTGAACTTCTTTGATTTTGAAACCTTTGACTTTTATAAATAGTGTTTGATGGGACTCCTTCCTATTCTTAATTTGCTTCGTGCCTTTCCTTATTTGTGTTATTCAGTTTCAAAGTGTTAAGCATTGCGATGGATAACCTGTCAAAATCTTATAATGATGTTCGCACCAAGGATGTGATTTAATCTGCTTTTGGAAATCGAAAGGATAGGATCACCCAAATGGTGAGAAAAGGAAGAATACCTTCATGAAGAAGAGGAAGGTTGCACTCCCACGGTTAAATCATGAGGGGTCATCTAAATTGATCCTCAGCACTATATGAAAGAACATTCAATCGATTAACCTGATGCTTGAACTGACCACTTATTCTATCGTTATAGAACAAGACCCTCTAGCCAACCAGGTCTCTCAATTTCTCATGGCGTTTCCTCACCACTTTCACCAGCGCTCCTTAGTGAGGGTGTCATGTCAATTACATACCTGAGTGCAATCAACTCTGGGTATGAGGGGTGACACGCCTAAAAATTACCTACTTTTTCATATATATTTTTAATGATGTTACACTTTAAAGGAAGATATTTTGCATATTTTTAGTTTTAGGTACAAGAAATGAACCTTTGGAGAAAATGTAGCAAAAATGATGTAATTTAGAACAAAAACGAGCAAGAAAGAAAATTATGACTTGACACATACGATGAAACTACATCCCAGCCACATAACTATATTATTTTCCTTTAGATGTTACTAACATACTGCTCAAACAATATAAACTATGCAATTATCAGGCAAAATAATTTTTTATAACCTTTAAAAAAAATACCACTAGCATTACCATTTACCAATGTTCTTATATTTAATAGATGCATAATTGGTTTTACATAGGGGAAATTGCATATTAATTAGCTATAAGTAGAGGAAATAGCATATTGCTAAATTTGTTTATTTATTCTACAATTATACACAAATTTTGAAAAACAACACTGTGGCAAATTGTAGATCTGAAATACAAAATAAAATTTATTTTTTTAAATATCAAATATTATTGGAGAAAAAAAAAACTAGCACTTCTTTCTTAAAACTCTACTCAATTTTGGTTTAAACTTTAGAAAGCTTTATTTTAATATTATTAATTAATTCATTAATGTTGAAATAATGCTTGGAAAAAAAAAAGAATTAAGCTTTTCTAAAATATCTAAAATTGTGTAACAAAACTGTGCATTAATCTCACATTAATGGAAAATAATAGATTATTACATTTTTATTTTATTTTTTTTGCATTTTTACCTGAATTTTTATGACCGAATGGTGTTTTTTGCTTAATCTATCATTCTCCTATTATTTGTAGGGACGAGGAGTTACTTTGCAAAGGGCTTGCTTTAAATGATGACCTTCAAAATGTTCTATCCAAATATGATGCTATTTTTATAGAAGTTTTAAATAAACCAGAGAAGCAGAAATCTCTCCAAGCTTTGGTGGATATTGATGATGAAAGTCAGGAAGATGATAGTGAATCAGATCAAAGGTAAGCCACTCCCATAACCATGTTAAATCACATTTTCTCTTTAAAAAGGGTGGCATTTACATAGATAATCAGCCAATTCTCATATATGTATATATCTAACGTCTAAACATTACTTTTTAGCATTCATACCACCCAACCCATAACCATGTTAAATCACATTTTCTCATTAAAAAGGGTGGCATTTACATAGATATCAACCAATTCTCATATATGTATATATCTAATGTCTAAACATTACTTTTTAGCATTCATACCACCCAATCATTTCATATCACATCAAAAGCACCATCATTTTAACTTCTAAAAAGTAAAATATACACATTTTCATGATAGGTAAGGTTGAGTGCGCGTTAAAATTGAAGTATATGTGTTAGACATGTAAATACATAGGAATTGAGTGGCACATATGTAAATCTTTCAAAAAAAAATAAGAGTTGAATCCTCAAGTCTTGTATTTTCGTGAGTGCATAAAACCCAAGAGGATCTTGTTTCGTGCAGCATATATATCTATTGATGTGAGTCCTAAGCCGGAAAAGTCATGCCCTTTGGAGGTTCTGTAAATTAAAAGAATTTAGAGCGAGAAAGAAATAGAAATTTTTTTTAGGAAGCAAAAAGTCTGAGAGTTCCCCTCTACCTCTTTTTCTCCCATTTTGTACACTAAGGAGAAAAAAATGAAATAATAAATGAGATGCATTTTGTACTGTACGGTAGCTCCCCCGCAGTGTCTTAATGAAAAGATTGTGATTTGGGTGTCAAGCGATATCGATACGACACCCATCCTTGGTGTTTGGTTGAGAAGATGGAGTCCCAAATGTTGAGCAGCACTTTTATTAATAAATTGATAGATGCTCTTACTAGTCGTGATTGTTTTTTTCGATAGCAGCCCTCGCACAAATGGGCTAGGCCGTTCTTTTGAGAAGATTGGATACAACCACTTTGGCAGCAGGATTTGCCACTTCAGTAGGTGAGATCAATTCAAACACTTCAAAAGGTGGGCTTGATTCAAGCACTTTTGCGGGTGGGCTGGGTTCAACCACTTTGGCAGGTGAGCTAGATTTGATCACTTTGGCAGATGAGTTTGATTCAATCACTTGTGTATAAAAGAAGGGAAAAGGAGGTGGATAAGAACTCACTAACTTTTTGCTTCCTAAAGGAAATCCTTATCTCTCTTTCTAATATCTTATAACTCAGAGAACCATCAAAGGGAAGGACCTTTTAGGCTCACCAGAGATAAGAATTCAATATATTTTCTAAGGTTTCCTCCCAGGACTAGCATTCATCTCTCTCTCTCTCTCCCTCTCTCTCGTTTTCTATCTATGACACAAGGTCTTTACCGGGTTATATGTACTCACAAACAATACGAGATCGTACGTCTGAAAATAATTAACAAAAAGGATGAAATTTACAATTAATGATTTGAAGAAAACTCTTAGATCATTTTAATGGAAATATTCATATCATTTACAGATCAAATACCGGTGGAAGCGCAAGCAATAAAGCTCCTCTTCAACAGCTCTTGCTACCTTCTCCTCTCTCAAACGGTATGTCAGCCTTATCTCCGAGATCAGTTCCACATGTGGACCTTCTTAGTGGTGAGAAGTTTGGTACAAGTTTGATGGATGACTCCTTGGGACAAGCTTATAATGTTGGATATCAGTTTCAGCAGCAACAACAGTCTCTACCTTCCTTAGATGGGAGTGTCATGGAACATGGACAGTCTAAATTTGAGCAAGCTTCTTTTGTACAAAGAGCTCAATCAGGTAATGGAGATCTTTCATGGTATAATTGTATAATGGATACACATCAACAAGCACATATCGGTAACTTTTACATAAACTAATGAGTAAAATGTTAAATAGTTCTATGATTATTACTTAATTCTTTTGATGTGGACTAAAAAATCCCTCGTAAACTATTTCAACACATTAAAAGAGGATGGAGATTAAATTGGCATCTTTACTTGACTCTGGGGATTATAATGACCCATTGCAAATAGTCAGGCGATCATTATAATAGGCATTAGGTTGTCTGGTTTGAAAATTTACGGACACAACATTTAAAATAGTAATATGGATTTTTTTATTCATTAATATCTCAATGCATTGTCAACTTACTAAGAGATATCAGCTATTTGTTTCTAGATGTCGTTTGATAAAAAAAACTATAAATGATGGTTATATCCTTTATTTCAGTGACATCTCCATGCCAGGTAAAATTCACCGACGATTAAATGTTATACCTGTTATAATTCTAAAAAATACAGGCATCCTTAAATACAATAAAATTAACTCAAGCACAAATCATTGGGCGGATAAAACTAACAACTTACTAACACCAATATCTAAATAACATTGAACCAAACTAACTCTAAACTTAAAATCATATAGTTCATGGATGGTTACTTCTACCAAATACCAAAGAAAATTAAATCCTTAACCTCATTGCTTAGATTGCTAATGTTGACTCCAATTCAATCTTCATCGTTGCAAACCGTAGTCCCAACCCTCTATGGTCATTCTAACCCTTCTCCATTATTCAAGTGCCAAAGGTGATGTTTAGCTGCCAACTCTAGCTTGTTAATATATTTTTGTACCACATTTATCCATGTTGTGTCTAATTATTTGGTGCTCCTATTTCCTTCCCTATTCACAATAGTAAATAAACATAATTAATTAATTTTTTTCAAAGAGAGTTTCACTGTCGAGTCATTTAATTGCTTCATTTGAACAGAAGTAGACCAAGATGGAGCTCTTCCTCCACCTCCATGGGAGATTGAATTGTCTGAAATTAACCAGACTTTAACCTTACAACAGCAACCTCAACAAAATGAGCAGACCAGAGAAATTATCACATATTCTCCAATAATTCAGGGAAACCAACCAATGGGAATACATCCTCCAAACGACCAAGCTTCTTATCTTTCAAATTCTTATCCTCAACCCATGCATGGTGCTCAGATGGAAATTTATGATTATGGCCAACAATCTGAATCTCAACTTTATGGTTATAATGCATCTTACTCTTATTCAAACAATAATGAGCTCTCTCATGTATGGAATGGGGTTTCCTTGCAAGATAGATATCAAATGGCTTCTACTGCTACTCCTTACTTGCAGCAGCCAATGAAGCCGTTGAGGGCTGATGATGATTTGTTTGCTGATCTTGTGAGCATGGCAAAGTCAAAGACAAATAAGTCTTCTAATTAACTAGAGCATACTGTATGTTATGAAGTTGGAATTTTTTTTTTTTTTTGCTAGAGCATACTGTATGTTATGAAGTTGGATTTTTTTTTTTTTTTTTGTTGGGAAATTTACATTTGACCCGCCCAATTCTCATGTATTTACATATTCCACACCTGAACATTGATATTTACATACATAGCTCTTTTTTGCTTTAAATCTATGTTTGAAGAAGTATGTTTCACTTTTAAGAAACGATAATAGTGCTGTTTTTTATGTGATTTTAAGGATTTAATTGTGGTTTAAATATGAAATTTTAAGTGTGAGATATGTAAATATATAAGAATTGTGTGCTATGCATGCAAATGCCCTTTTTTTTATTTTTTTGTTCATCATACCATTTGATGTCACAAATTCTCCGGTAACTTTATTTCATTACATTAAATTCAATTATCTATAAGCTATTTTGTATGATGTCCCAAATTCCTCGGTAACTTTATTTCATTACATTAAATTCAATCGTCTATATGTTTTTTTGACTTCCGTTCTATTTATTTGTGTGGTTACGTGCGCATTAGTATGTGTATGTACATGTAAAACTTATTAGTGTTTGTTTGTTGTTTGTAACTAAACGCAGCAGTTATTTAAGTTTTGTGGTTTCATTTTTGCACAGACAATACCATCTTTAAAAAAATAATAATAAGAAAGAATTGGTAAGATCATAGATTGATAAGTTCATAGGGCAAACTGATATGATTCATTCAAGGTTGAAGATGAAGGCGTTGTTTGTACGTAAAAACTCGGAAAATTTGTTAGAAAATGCATTGTTTGTCATCGCCAGCCCGCCCGCAGTCACCATTACCATCATCAGCAAGCACTCGCAACCCACAGCCATCTATTGTCACCTATTTTAAATTGATTTTATTTGTCTTTGAATCAAACAAAATAAATATGAAATTCTACATTTATTTTACATTAAATTAAATAACTTCTAAGAAATAATGAATTACAAAAAAATTGGAGAATGACAATATGAAAATGTTGTGATGACCTCATGGCTCATGTAAGAACAGAAAAATATAATTATATCAATGAGTCCCATTCATGATATGTCAAAAGTTCCCAAGAATTTATGGTTATTCATTGGTCGGAGGAGATTATCTTTTCTTCAAGATTACAAATCTCAAAGCATATATTTTATGATTTATTACTCATCATTAAAAAAAGATTATTAGGAATCATAAACGGAAGCAAGTAGCAACATTTATTTTCCTGTAATGACACTCGCGCCTCATTGTGGGGATCCAAATATTATTACAATATAAACTATGTTGCTAAAAATCCATGTCTCAACATAAACATGCTCAGTTTAAACTCATAAAAGCCCCTGAAAATTTGATTTAGAGCAATTAAGAGATCAAATAATAAAGAAAAATTCCCCAGCTTATGATTCGATAATCTTACGGTTTGAGAAACTTGTCAAACCAGTCGCTTGCTGCCTTCACCATTGAAGCTGTCATTTGATGCCCAATTCCACTTTCCGCTATAAACTGCACAAAATTATTAATGGCCATGAAGATGAAAGTGAAACAATAGTTCTAAACAGGAGTGTGATCGAGTTGAGCTGGGCTCGAGACACGTCTTGATTGAAAATGAGCTTGATTAATTAACTAAATTTGAGCTCAAGCTTAATACTACGAGTTCAAGTTAGCTCACAAGTTGACTCATTATTACGAAAGAGAAAGATAGTTATAATAAAATTTAAAAAAAAAAAAAATTCGAATAAAAAAATAATAGATCACAAGATATAAAAATATGTTAAGTTTTTAACATTTATAACAACTTAGTACATAAGACTTTTACATTCCAACATGTATTTTATATTAATATTTCTTAAACGAGCGGACTTGTGAGCTAATGCGTCAAGTCGGGACTAACTCAAGCTCAACTCGTTAGCCGTCAAACTCGAATTATAGCCATTTCAAGTCAACCACGAGCTAGCTTGATGCTGGCTTGACTCACACCCCTATTGCTAAACTTCATATAATAATCAACCAGCCTAATAAGGATATAGGTGACAAACTTGAATGAAAACTTTTGAAATCATATTGGTAATGTAGCCGTTAGGAAAGTGAAATCAAAAGCATGATAGAAGAGTTACCATTTAGGAACGATCAGAAATTAACTTAGAGAAATAAGTTTCAGTTTTTCAAATGCATTGACGGTGATCCATACCTTGAAGTTTTCAGGGCAGCCGGCCTTCTTATAAGCCTGTTCTGCTCTTGATATTGGGATATGCAAACCATCCAGAGGACAGCGAGGATCTTCACCACCTTAGGTTTTCAAACAAATAAAACTTGTGAAAAAAAACAAAAGATGTTACAAAATAAGTACAATGATAAGGCATATAAAACTCATGAGAATCAAGCATTATTGTGAATTTAAATGGATTTTGTATGGATTAGTCCCTCTAATAGAACACTTTATCCCTCTATTTGTTTCAAATAAGAATAATGAAAATACCATTTAGAATAAGCTGAGGACGAGGTGCGATAGCAGGAGTCTCGGGGGAATCAAATTGTGAAGCTAGGCCCGGCGCAATTCTGTCCCACACCTGTAGTCAACAAGAAATAGCAGATAATCATGAAAAACTGCAACGCCATTAAAAAAAGCTTTAATATGACAGGAAAGAAATGCATAAGGGAAGATATCACTGATTTTAATGAGCAAAATAAATCAGGAGATTATGCTTATAAAGCCTGACCTTTTCTACCACCTCTTTATCAATTAGATTCTTGCCGAGATCAATCCTTGCTTCTGCATGAGGAAATAGGGGAAATTGTGACTCCTCGAATGAAACCAGAGAAGTAAGCACATGAAGCTTTAGTAAGAGGAATATAAACTACAAATACTAGTAATACTATCAAAATCAAGTAGAGCCACATTGAGCCCAATTCATGGGTTGACAGCTTCACCTCCGTCCACGAGGCCATGTATTTGAGTGCCAGCGTAGAATGCAAATGTAGTGTAGGAAACATGGAGAGAGAATTTATAGCTAAAAACACTCAAAATTTCAAAAAAGAAAAAAAAAAAATCAAAATCACATATAACTGGCATGAAATGTTCTAATAACTTTGTGCAGCTGATTTGGCCTAATGGCTAGATACTTTGTCTCCAACCTGAAGGTCTTATGTTCAAGGCTTACCACATTATAATGTAAGCAGGAGTTGAAAAATGTACTAATAATGTCTGACACCGAAGAATAGCAAAGTTCATTTATTTACTATCCAGATAACATGATTACTACATTCAAGCATGGCCCTGTTGAACATCCAACTTGCCAGAGAATTCATGAAGTCTATAAATGATATAATTTCTGCACCGCGTTTTAGGAAACTTATCATCTTCCATCAATACTATCTGCAACATGTGATCTTTGCTTCATTATTGCAAATATAAAAATTAAGTGGTCATTTACATACTTAGCGGACAATTCTTATGTAGTTACATATCTCACACCTAAACATTCATATTTACATATTTACATAGAAAGCACTTTGATGCTTTAAATGTATGCATGAAAAGGTATATTTTGCGTTTAGAAAGTGGTAATAATGATTTTTTTTAAGTGATATTGAGATTTGATTGCTACGTGCAAAAATATAAATGTTTAGGTGTGAGATATATAAATGAATAATGCTATGTATGTAAATGAAAATCAAATTTCCTAATATATATGATATGAACTCTAGTATAGCATCATGCAAACATACAGTATATACTTCCTAAAGCAACCTTCAAAGACAGGCTTAATACTATCAACCCGAGCTTGCCATTTCTCGTTGTCCATGGCCCATCGAAAACCCTAGAAAGAAACAAATAATTAAATGCACATAAGGCTGTGACAAACTCGTACACAACATATAAACTATCGGTAGCAGCGAAATTTAATCCAAAAACCTGAACGCCGATTATAGGGACAACAACTGCATAGCGAATGTCGGCCGCAGCAGCAAACCAAGCATGCATACCTAAATTAATCAACTTTAATACAAGTTCCATAATCAGATTCCAACACCTCAAAATTTTTTTTTATATCAAGAAAGCCCATTAAACCTCCCAAGGATTCTCCAGTAACTCCAATCCTTATAGGATCGACATCCTCCCGCTGCACAAGGTAATCTGCCAACTTTATCAAGTCCCATACCTGCCATTACCAAAGTATTTCACAGGTTGGAAACCATTGATTGACATAAACTCCAAAGCACTACAAAGGAGAGGGACGTGAGATTACTGTGTCAAATATGAAAGGCATAGTGTTTCCATTTTTCCAGGATGAAATTAGAACCTGTTACAGAGCCGAAAACCAAGGTATGTTGATAAAGAAACAATAATAAAATGATTAAAATGGCATCTTTTAAGGATTTAACAGTTAAACAAAAACTTTGACCAATAGATCCAATTTTCAGTATACTTCTTGATATGTTGTTGTGCTTCTAGCTCTTTCACCATGGTAGCGGGAATCAATGGCAACAGCAACATATCCCCTAGAAGCATATGCCTGTACATACAAAATCTCACTAGTAACCAAAGACAGATTTCTGAACAACTAAAAAGCCTAAAGATGGAAAGGTAGAACTACCTCAAGCAAAGGGCGCAACCATTCTTTACATTTGTAGGAGCTATGTATAAACACAACAGCTGGTCTCTTTTTTGAATCACTTCTCTTCATTTTCAATATCAAGACTGGGAGTCTGCCTTGCTCACCTTCCTGACATTACCAGGCAAAAATATCACAATGATGCTTATTATTTGTGTTTCTATACAGTGTAATCTCTTAACTATGGTTTTAAAAGATAAAACTTCAGCTTCAATCCACCTTCGTCCACAAAATTTGATCACTGACGTGGAAAAACTAGACATACCAATGTTGAAGTAAGAAAAATGTTTAGAAAAATAATAATTTTTCTAGAGATGCAGTTAAGAAAAAACATAGATTTTAGAATTGGGAAAGACTTCTAAAATCCCCGTAAATGTGATGCTTTCATTTTCAAACACAAAATGAGTGAAAAACTAAATCATCATTTTCTAAAACATGCTTTATATTTTCAAGCAACCAATTAAGATCTAAGAAACAATCTATGGATATGAGTTGAAATACCATGCATAATACTAAAGAATTAAATTTTTTCGAACATTTACATGCATATATTCAATTCCTATGTATTTACATATCTAACACACAAATTTCAATCAAATGCTTAGTTGAAACCATTCTAGATGCAACATAACATGGTAAAGTGGACCGATGCACTAGATACTTAATGGTCACTAAAACATGTATAGTATAAATAAGCATACATAAACCTACAACATATGCAAACAAATTCAATTGGAGCTCCAAACAAGAATTAATACTAAATATTGATCCATTGAAGATCGAAGGAGAATTTTGGAAAAACATTAAATCTTAGGTTATCAAGTGGAGTCTCTTTGTGTTAATCAATTGTTCACTCAAAGCCCTCAGTTTCCCTAATTAAACTAGATGGTAACTTTGTCGAAGCGATACAAGGAGGTGTTTTCTCTATATTTGTTTGGGGGCCACAACCCCCTATATTTTTTCTGTACACAACACTTCAACGTTGAGTCAACAACACCCCAACACCGATAAACACCCTAGCGCTCGAAAGACCGCACCGCCCAATCCTGATTCAGAACCCAAAAGCATGGCACTGCAACGCTTGGATGCAGCATCGCACTGCTCCATTGGAGCGCCACTACTATAGCACATCAGTGCCAATAACCGACTTTGAGCCATTTTCACTTAAAATTTCGGATTGAAATCTCTTATGCGGGGAGTTGATTATGAGTATCCTTGTATGTCCAAGAGTGTAGAGATGCTTGAGAGCGGGGTAATTTGTACGATTCTCCTTATTTTCTTCACATTGAATTTTTTAGTGTGATGTGGTTCCGTGATTTTTACTGTTCTCGGTTTTTTTTTTTACATTAAATTTAGTTTTTTTTTTTTTCTGTGTTTTCTTGTTTTGTGCGCACGTGTTCAAAGATTTGCTTCGGATATCTCGGGTTGTTTCCCAACATCCTACAGATATGCCTCTCAACAACCAGTCCAATAAATTTAGTCTACATGTAAGAAAACTGAAAATGCTGCCGTTGAAGGCCAAAACAAAGACTTACTTCAGTGATCAAATATATGTTTTCTTCAATCAATCCATCATTGAATTCGAAGCCCTCAATGCCTTCCTTAGGGCAAGATTCCATAACCTATTAAAATTAATTCAGCATCAAAACAATATAAAAGCAACGAAAGAACACATGTTTACCCAAAATTTGGGTTAAAGGGTTCCACCTTCCTGGAACCAAGAAGAGTGTTCCCCTGATACATGGGATTCTTCACCGGCTTCCCAATCTCGACGGTGAAGGGAACTGCCAGAAAATCAACTAAAATATCAAAAAAATTCATTAAAAACCCGAAATAAAGTGGCGTAGCAGAGCTCATACCGTCAGTAACTTGCCGGCGGCGAGAGCGGAGGAGCTGAAGGAAGTCAGAGCGGAGCTTAGATGCGTCAACTGCTTCCATTCTCAGTCGATTGCTACGACCGTTTCGGCTATCAGCCTATCAACATGAGCTCCGCCAAATTCAGATTTATAAACCCTCCACCGAATTTCTATGTATTAATATATCAATCGTCTATAGTTCAATTCTTACCTATGGATTATCCAATCTATTACATAAATCATAAAAATTATATGTACCTAAAAATTAAAAATTGTATACTTTATGTGTTAATACATAAAAATTGGTAGGTAGATATGTAAAGGCCCGATATTATAATGGGACATTTATATATTAGAACATAACTTTTATGCATTTATATATTTTTGTACATAAAAAAACATGATTGTATGAATCTCTAAAAAATTCAACGGGTCTCGCTTATGAACACCAAATGATTATATCTGGATAGTTAAAAGACGAAAGTGTCAAGCATTGCTTCCTTCGATAACTGAACGACAATACAAGCCAAGCGAAAAAATATTCAAGCATTGCTTCCTTCGATAACTGAACGACAATACAAGCCGAGCAAAAAAATATGTGGTAACTAATCCAAAGGGCAGTCATTTGCAACAAGCTTCCTCAATTGATCCCGAAACACTTCATAAAGATGGCCAAAGGGAACCCCACGAAATATCTTTGTTATCCTCTGCAGAAGGTCCCTTGTCCAAGGAAAGATGTCTCGGATCACGGTGATATATTCTCTGTCTGACGTTTCAAGTTCACCCAGACAACAAGAGGGTCTTTACTGATGATTCTCTTAAGAAGGCCAACCTAAGTCGTTCCAAAAAAATTGAAGACCACTCAACTGACCGAATGATTCTGAAAAAACCAAAGCACAACACCAACGAATCATTAAATGCCCAACTTCAAGCAGTTATTAATATGAAAACTGTGCCGACATTAATTATGGCTATAAAGTGGCACTGTACTCAGTTACAAATGTGAGAATGTGTCATAATAACTTGTAACAACCATATTTAAAACTTGAATAGACATGTAATTTCATATTGGATACACCTAGGACCTATAAATAGAGGTCATTTCTTCAAAGAAAAGATTACTGAATTGACACTCGAAAAACTTATATTATTGTGCACATTATTTTCCTCCATTTCTATCTCTTTGTTCCTCTCATCTGTTTAATGCTATATACATGGGTATGATCCACATTACATTTTTTGATTCAACATCCTAAAATATGTGGTGGGCATGAAATCATGCCATCAACAAGAAGAGAAGCATGAAATGAAAAGGAATCATTTAGGAGAAACCTCAAACACGGAGCCTGTAAAAGAATTTGTGCAACAACAAATTCATAAACTCTGAGATCAAATGGCTGGTCGAATGGTTGTATGTGCTACTCAAAGGAATAGCGCAAGCTCCTCAATAACCGAACCCTCGAGTAAAACCCAAACTCCAAGGCCACCAAATAGCTGAGGGGGCATAAAGAATTGAAAATTCCTAATATTAGGATAGTGTTGGGTTTAAGTCAAGGGTCGGACCATGATTTGAGCGAATGGAGGTCTACCGCCAGGTAGAGAATGCATTCTTTAGGGTAAATTGTTGATGCTGAGCCACCAAGAAGCTCAAAGTTTCATCTTTGGAATCTTATAAGACTCATAGAATGCAACTTAAACTGAGAGATTCGACCGACCACATAGCTTCTTTTGATTTGGTCTCCTGCCTTCTCAAATTCTATGACACACTGAAGTGTTAGTTATTCTATACCACACTGTGAGATTCAACCCTCAGGTGGTTTAGTAGCCTCCCGACAAGACTTATTACCTCCTTTTGTGAGTTCAAGAAGATGTTTACAATGCAGTTCGATAGCTCCTAGAAGTCCTGTAAGGTCTTGCATGCTCTGTTGTACGTCAAGCAAGAGTCGAATGAGAGCCTTCGAGCATATGTCACTCTCTTCCAGAAAGAAATGCTAGAAGTGCGGAACTTGGGGCCCGTTGTAGCACAGACTGTACTGGCGTAAGGGTTGAAGAGTGAATGGTTTAAATATTTTCTTAGTATACGAGGCGTAAGGGTTGAAGAGTGAATGGTTTAAATATTTTCTTAGTATACGACAACCCAATAGCCTGGTTAAACTTTTGGAGTTTGCCAACTACCATATTATCGCAAAAGATTATGTTCATCCGCCTTACCATAAAAATGAACAATTTGATTGTTGCTCGCAGAATAGGGGCTTGCGAGATGATGTGTGGAGGTTGAATAATGACCCACGACCCAAACATGAAGACAGTCAACCATTTCATAACGATAGAGTGGCTGACAAAAAATACCGAAGATGGAGTCGATCAAATGAGGAATTGATTGAAGACCGAGGAACACCAAAAGTTGGCGTCGACCAACCCACTCTTTGAGTTTTCTGGTTAACAAAAGGAAGGCCTAGGAATAATCAAGCTATCTGTCACATGAAAGGAAGGTGACAACGAGGTTACGAACATGCAGAATTTTCTAGTGATTGACATGCTAGCCACTTATAATGCTATCTTTGGTAGGCTACTATTCAATGACTTTAGAGATGTGGTTTCCACATATCACATCGTTGTAAAGTTTTCATGTGACGTGGAGAAATTTATCTTCCAAGAAAATCTAGAATAGTATCAAATGTGCTACCTCTGGGCAGTCGGCAACACCAAACAAGTCGTTTGACATCTAGAACCAGTGAGAGGTGGTCACGAGACCAATGAAACCACTACATAAATTCCTACCGTCGATGAAGAGCCGAGTAATTTTTCCTTAATCAGTGAATTTTTCGATGCAGAATATACAAACTTGTTGATCCAAACTCTCTGAGAGCATCGAGATGTTTTTATCTAGTTAGCTGCTGAAATGTCAGGAATTCTGATTGATGTAATGTGCCACCACTTGAACATCAATCTTGTTGCTCGACCGGTAAAGAAAAAGATGAGAGCATCGACCAAGATGTTAGCCAGGCTGATACGCAAAGAAGTACAGAAGCTCAAGATGGCGGGCTACATTTGGGAGGCACAATACCTAACATGGGTCTCTAATGTAGTCATGGTCCAAAAGTCGAACGACAAATGGAGTATGTGCATGTACTTCACAAACATGAACTCTGTCTACCCTAATTACAATTACTCTCTGTCGAGGATTGACGCTCTGATAGATTCAGTAGTCAGTCATTCCGTAATGAGCTTCTTGGATGCTTTCTCTGACTATCATCAGATTAAGATGCATCCATCTAACATGGAGAAGATGGCAGTCATTGCGAGCAAAGGCCTGTATTGATATGATGTAATGTCCTTTGGGATAAAGAATGGTGGGGCTACCCACTAACATTTAATAGATGTACTCTTTATAAATTAGAAAGGAGAAAATATTGAAGTCTATGTAGATGATGTTTAATGTCTAAAAAATTTTCATGAGGTGAGTCAGTCAATCATGCAAGTATATGTTTCAAGTAATGTGTGGTAGCAGAGTCCAAGTATTGATCCCACAAATAAAAGACTAATAATCATTTTGATAGAAAAATCTATAGTTTAATAATTTTTGTAGAAATAGCTTGGTGTGATCACAACAAAGGGTTGAAATCTAAAAATCCTAACAGAAAACAAATCACGATCGCAGAATGCAGAAAACAGAAAGTAGACAGAAACTTGGTTTTCTTCAAGAAGCATGAGGTTTTTGCCTCTGTGACTCAAGTATCTTAGGGATTCATGGTTTTCTTTAATATTTTTCTATGTGATAGTTGACAAGAAGGGATAAATTTTCTTCTTAAGTCCATGCCTAGGTCAGAAGAAGATTAAAAACCCCATGAAGTTTAGTTTCCCCTGACCTCATGACATTTCTCAGGATTCTTTCAATCCTCTTTCTAGGTTGCAAAATCTTACTAGAATATGCATATTTCATCAGGATTTTTTTGGTTAACTTATTCATTCCACTATGCGACGGGCAGAAGTCATAGATCAAGAAAGATTTTAACATTTGAATTGACCAAATTAGAAGTAAATAAAATTCATAATGTTAACTAACAACATAAAGAAATTTTGGTATGAAAATGCTACAGTGAAAACATCTTGAAAAATCATGTAAAAACCACTAACCCTACATCAGGAAGACACGAAAAAGATTTAGCCATGCATAGTAGAGAAAACTACAAACAAGAAATCCGTGCAAATCATTGTTGCAAGAAACAAAGAGTTGTGAAACTTAACATAATTACTTGTTTTCTCCCCACTAGTGGAAGACCCTCTCTCATACAATAAACTCTCACAAACTACAAGAAAACAAAAAAGAAAATAGGAGGAAAAATAACCCTTAAGGTTCCCACCCAAAAAGAGGAAGAAAACCCTAAGGGAGAACTCTCTCTTACGAAAAAGCTCACTCAATTGTAGTCTCTTCTCGCCTAAGATGCCATGAAATCGTCCCTATGAGCATACATATAGGGCTCGACAAAAGCAGAAAATTTCATCCAAATTTGAATCAGTGAACCAAGCGCATATAGGGGAAGCTCGACAAAAGCAGAAATTTCATCCAAATTTGAATCAGTGAACCAAGCGCGAGTGCACTGTGATGCCTTCGTTGGTGTGCCATAGATGTAATGACAGGGCATGGGCACACAACGAAGCTGGCAGGGGAGCTTTAACCCAACGCGGGTGCACCAACTTTTGAGCGCGAGTAGGTTGGCCCGACATGGGCGTGATGGGATGTTGGCTCGGGTCCACTGAGTCAAAATCTATTTTTATTAGCTTAAATTCATTCTTTTTTTTTATGAACAACACCCAATATGTAATCTGCACAATAAGATAAAAAATTCCTTATACACAAATAATATCATTATAGAATATACAAAAATATGGATAGGTTGTCTAGGAATCCATCACATATTTCATTCAGATCAAATCCCCTTTTCCAATGAGAGCCATCTGTCGGATCACGATGGTATAACTTCTGCCTAACGATCCAAGTTCACCTTAACGACAAGAAGACCTCTAATGAGGCTTCTCTTGAGAAGGCTGATTGAACTTCCAACAGACCGAAGACCTCTCGACCGACTGAATGATTCTCAGACGACTAAAGAACAACACCAATTGCTCATTAAATGCCAATCTTTAAGCAGTTATTAATATAAAACGG